TGTACACACCAACCCAAAAGAAGAACGGTGAGTTGAGATGGCATGCAAGAGCTCAAAGAATCGCCCGATGGTTTTAAATCAGCAGTGTGGGAAAGTTTCGGGTTCTAGAGATGCACCGGTCAACCACCCATAAATCAGAATCCGGCTTTTAATTTTATTTTGGCTGATCTCTATTTCCCAAAATGTAATTTGTGTGGAATTTTTATGAAGTCTGTAAAGAGGAGAAAGCACTGTACCAGTCAGATCAAGCTACTGTTCGCGATGCTCGATATACTGTAGGAAGACAAATGTGGGGGTTTATATGAATGTATCTCTGAGAGGAACTGACCGTCTTCAGAAATGTATTTATGACATTTTCTTTTCCTCTTACCTCCATATAATGCATATTAAAGTAGTGTTTATAAGTGCAGCTGCTTTGTTTACAGCGGTAACCAAGGAAACTATATTGCTGCTGTCAGAGAATACATTTACATTTTCATTCAGTTCATCTGCTGTTTTTGTTTTGTGCAAGTGTCTTATGTAGCATAATTTCACAAATCTAAAGTCAGACCATTCTGTTTTTGCTTTAAATCTTGAAATCTAATTCAAAGCAAAAACAACTGCTTATGCTACATGTATGTAGCACAAATGTGTTAAAAAAAAAGAAAAAAAAAGCTTTTCCTGTTGTAACGAACCGTGACCCCAAAACCATGGTACGTACCCAACTGTGACTTCTGTGTACGTTACACCCCTAATATATAAATACCCACACACACATTATATATATATAGTGTGTGTGTGTGTGTGTGTGTGTGTGTGTGTGTGTGTGTGTGTGTGTGTTTGTCTATGCGTTTATTATTCTTATATCCCTTCTTCTAGCTTGTGCTATGTATGAAAGTTTATATTGCTAGTGTTATTGCATCCATATGATAAATCGCTTGTTGTATTTCTCATTTGTAAATTGCTTTGTATAAAAGCATTTGCTAAATGAATATATGTACATAATCTTTCTATCAGTTTTGCTCATTTCTGGTGTGTTTACAGGGGAAAGATGACATCACAGGAGAGCCATTGATTCAACAGGAGGATGACAGACCAGAAGCCCTGGTGGCCAGACTGAGACACTACAAAGATGTTGCCAAACCTGTCATAGACTTTTATAAGTAAGCTCATAACACATTTATAGAAATTACCTCACATTTTGGAATGCAAACCAAATCTCACCCAGTGTCCTTGTAATTGTACTTCTATGAGTCATTTGAAAGAATGACAGAAAAGCTTGTTCTCTTTTGTTAAAAGCATTGTAATTCTGTGTACCTTTGAAGGGCTAAAGGCATCCTGTACACATTCTCGGACACAGAGACAGATCGGATCTGGCCGAATATCAGCACACTTCTCAGCACAAAGATCTCCACCATCCAATCAGATGCTCGTTGTGCTTCAACTCACTGAGGAAATCCACTGAAGTCTCATATCAAAGACACCGAAGTGGCCTCATCTCAGAGGAATTACTAATTGACCACATTTGGTTTCCAAAGATTCCATGCTAGTCATTTTTATTATCACAACTTGTCCATTGGTAGTATAGTATTATTCTTCATAGTGCTAGCTTTGATTATTTCTGTTTCTGACAAGATTTAATACATTTGAAGGACTTGCTCTCCGCTTTTAGCATTTGCTGGAATCTGGGAATCAGTCTGTAAAATTCAACTTATATCTTACAAGTACAATAGTTGTGAAAGAGAGTTGATGATTCCTAGATTTCAACTCAGAGTGCACAAATTTATATAGATGTGATTAAATCACATTAGAATAATGAAGGGTAGACGCATGTGACCTTGTGTAAGTGAATGAGACAAACGGCTTAGACACGAACCGGAAGTGATCAGGAGCTGCTGGGAAAACACGTATTACTCCTGTTCGTCGCCACTGACGTCTTACGAAAAACATACAGCACGACCGTCAGGGCTAATTATAGTTGACAACAACTAAAACTGAAACTACATTTAAAAATATAAAAAACAAACTTTTCTAAAAATAAAATAAGCATTAGCTTTAAAAAAAAAAAACATTTAAAAAATCAACTAGTTTTTTTTTTTTTATTAGCGAATGCAGCATTTATTATTTTATTTTTATTTTTTTCAAATTGATGTACTAAAATAAAAAACGAACTAAAATGGAAATAAAAATGAAAAACTATATAGACATATTTTTTTTTTATTGTAAAAATGACAAACCTACACAATTAAATTACTAAAGCTTTAAAATTAAAATGGAAAATCTAAAAATAAAAACCAATGTTGAATATTGATAAAAACTATAATAGTATCTCAATGATACTATATACTTTATATATATATATATATATATATATATATATCATAGTAGTGTTAATCATGCTACTACACACCATAAAAAAATTCTATAATTTTATGTATTTTACAAGCTCTATAATCCAAATATGCCACATATGCCTTGGAGAAGTACAATTTCTTGATCTGCTGAAATTGCTATTGTGAACACCAGGCCTTATTCTTTGAAATACATTGATAGAATGTTTACCTGTTAAAAATCAAACCAATGTATGAGTAACACTATAGCAAATTGCAATATATAAGAATAATGTGATATAATAATCCTATACCATATCAGATATTCTTTAAACACTGCCTGTTTTGGTAAATACTGTTCAGCATTACATTTTTAAAAGCCATATCTGGGAAAACTGTTGATAGAAAATAATCTAATGAGGTTACAAGGTTATGTATTGTACCCATTTAATAACTGTGACTGTGTTCAGCCAGAACAACAGTGATGTATTCTTTATCCAGAAGATTAAAGCACAGATTAATCAAAAACCACAGATTAAATTACTATTACATTACACTGCTTGTCCCCAAAACATAAGTGAAAGGAGTGTTAGGCACACATGACTTTATAGTAATCAGCCTATGTTTATTTCTCTGTTTAATTTTCTTTTATTCTTTCTTACTCCCCGTTCTCTCTCCCATGTTCTGTTTCAGTCTTACATACCGGACAATACGGAATGGAGAAAACACTTAAAATATCTCCACACCTTCTTGTTATGCAATACCATATACAAGAATTTACATGCCTGAGCTTTCCCTTTTTTTCCCAAAGAAAATAAACTTATTTTCACAGAAATGTTGAGTGTATTCTTTTGATTTGAATTGAATCTTCATCATTCATTTTCATATAAATTTGACTTTGGACCTCCACAAGTGGTATAAATACACATAAAAACTTATTCACAGCACATAAAAACATAATACATAATAATAAACCACTACTGTCAGCAGTTATTATATAAACTAATTGATAATGGAACTAATCTAAAAATATACTTGCAGCTACAATATTTTTTGATGATGATGATGATGACGATTATTATTATTAGCTTTCTGCAAGTAAAAACGTTTTACGTAAAAGCAACGTGGCATCTGACCAGCTGTTAGGAAGGATGTCCTTTGAGGGTGGGATGCGCGTTGATGTGTAATAACCATAGACTGTATAAAAACAGGTAATAACGTTTACAAATCCTACTACGGCGAAGGTTTGCCTCATGAATATTAATAAGGTAAAATAACAGACGCTCCCAGAGCTGTTTGGACGTTCCAGGAAGTTTACCGAGGAACGTCACCATCGTCTAATTAATATCCACGAGCTCAGCTTCAGCAGAGCCACAGTAGCACATACCAGCTGCGTCTGTAGTCTGTGTCTGCATCACGGAAGTCCCGAAACGTATTGAAAGAGGGAGTCCAGTATGACACACAGCTAAAATTATCATCATCCCTCCCAAAAAATTTGTCAGGTCTGACTGCTTAATAGCCTGTCACTTAAAGTAAAAGTACAACAAATCAGAGATAGATTTGACTCCAATTAAAAAATCCGTTGCGTGATTTCCTAAATATGAACGGTCCCGTGCATGGTTTGTACAATTAGAATAATTAAACACTTGAGAAATAAAAAATAATACATATATATGTTTAGTAATCCAGATCAAACTGACAGTCGGCTGTGGATTTGGCTTGTGGGTTTTGATTCGATGATGCTGAAGTAGCTCTACAATCATTGCTTCAAGTATCTGTTCGTGGGTTTATTCGAAACGCAGCACGATTCGCTGGGATTTGCGCCAATCTGACCTTTGACAGCCAGCGAATGACAAATGAAAGATCAGCTGGGGCATCGGAGAATGACAGACAGTTCATCGAAAGGTAGGAGGAAAACGCTGTCTATAAACCACTGAATGTGCTTATTATTAGTAGATGCAGTCATACAGCATGGGATGAGACATCTTCGATATTACGCAGTGAATTGTTATTAATATATAAACCGTCGTGGCTGTCGTGATGTCACAGTCAATCCCGAGGCTGGATTTTTATCCTTATCTGCACTGCTAAATAAGTATTACGTTTTATATAGTGCCATAGGTGTTTTGTTTAGTTGTGGTCGTCTTCATGTCAACATCGCTGCAACGTAATATCGCATTTGGTAATTTTATATGACGATGGGCCTGTTTTAAGAAGCAATAACCTATACGAGTCACGACATGCAAAGCAGATCAGCTGATCGGATGCATTTCGAGACTGATGCATAGGAGGCGATGGTTTAATAATCATCGTCTCTTAGTATTATTATTTATTCTGATGAACCGAGATTTCGACAGAAGATGAACGATGAGCACACTGGAAAATCCAGATTTAAGATTGTAGATGATTTGTAACATGGTTGAAAGCTGGTCTAAGATTGGCATATTAGCAGGTGCAAGCCGGCCATTTAGCTGTTTGGCCAACTACCATCGTCCAAAAGAAAAAAAAAACTTGAACATCTTAAGCTGTTATGATCTTTTATCTGTTATGATTTATGTATTTGTTACTTATGTATGTATGCATTAATTAATTTATGTATGTATGTATGTAGCTAGCTAACTAGCATTTCCAAGATGCTACAAGAAGGTACCATCATGGAACAGCTGCTGACCGGCTTAGACCAGCTAATGATCATCTTAGACCAATTGGAAACCAGCTATATATTCTAAAACAATTTTCCAACAGGGTGGCTGCAATATAACAAAGAGTGAAAAATTTAAGGGGGTCTGAATACTTTCCGTACCCACTGTATATATATATATAGCGATCTCTATTCTTTTTCTATTCTTTTGACTTGTTTTATTTTTATGTATAAAATAAAGGGAAAAGGACCCTCTAACACTTGCACTCTCTATTCTTTTTCTATTCTTTTGACTTGTTTTATTTTTATTTATAAAAAAGGGGAAAAAGACCCTCTAACACTTGCACTCTCTATTCTTTTTCTATTCTTACTACTTGTTTCCTTAAAAAAAAGAGCATCTAGCACTAGCATTCTCTATTTTTTTTTCTATTCTATCTTCTTGTTTTCTTTTTAATTATTATAAAAAATGGCCCTCTAACACTAGCATTCTCTATTCTTTTTCTATTCTTTTGACTTGTTTATTTAACAAAACGACCCTCTAACACTAGTGTTCCCTATTCTTTTTCTATTCTATCTACTTGTTTTCTTTTTATTTAAACCTTGCTACGTGTACAAAAGCAATAAAAGTTTTTCAGTTAGTGTTTTCAGCTTGTTTATTTTCATATAAAAATATGGCATGCAGTTGCTTCAAACAAAGGTGTAAACATCATTCATTTAATCGTAATTAATAATCGCAATTACAATTTCAATGTATTTTTTAATTTTTGTCATAATCGTGCAGCCCTAATATATATATACAGTATATAAATATATATATATATATATATATATATATATGAACAAATGTATAGATAGATAGATAGATAGACATACAATATAAAATTGGATAGAATACATCTTTAAATATTGTATACAATATTGGCAAGGTATACTAATAAACACGTTCAGGGCAAATTAGAAAAATTCTGATAATTTACCTGGTGTTTGCTCGTTTGCTTTTATTCCGTACAATATTACTGTTAGTTTGATCCACTGATAAGCACTGCTTAAATCCGCTCTTCGTTCATTCTGGAAAATGCTAAATGGTTGTAACTGGCACAAAATTAAATTATCTCATCTGATCCATCTTTCTCTCTAGAGCTCTATGTTTAATGGGGAAAAAATCACTCAAGTTTGATCAATGACAAAGAAAGTGTTATGTTGTTTGATTGCTTTTAATGTGTAATCTATAATACGCACAAGGTCAGTTTATGATGGTTTAAAAGGTTAAGGGAAATCCCTTGCATCATAATGGAGCTGTGCAGAAGGGTGCACTCCCTGCCTCTGTTGCCATGGAAGCAATATTGCATGTCCTCACAGTCTCGACTTTACATTAGAAGAATGCTTCTCATGACTGATGATTTCACATATTATTCAGCTGAATTTATCCAATGTCAGTTGTAAGCCTATATTATTTTTTTTACCAACTGCAAAGAACTATTGGTTTAATCTATAAGGTTTCCTAAAGGGTTAATGCAACCTAAGTAACTATTAAGCAAGCCACTACAATTTAAGCTTTCATTATGTTAAAAATTAATCCAATCCCAGCCATGAATCCAAGTCCACTTTATTCAGCCAGCATATTAACCAAGATACATTGTGGTCTAAGTGTCACCTGAATCACCTACAGTGCGTGAGGCGTGTTAGCTTTGTTAATAGTTTTATCATATTCGTTGTAGTCTTATACAGATGCCAGTTTGTGAATATGAAGACTGTTTTTTAAACATATTAAAATAAAAAGAGAAAAGAATGCTGAAAAGGGAAAAAAACATCAGTGCTTCTTGTTTATTTTCTCCGGCCCACTCTTGCTTTCTACACAGGTATAAACTACTAGATCTGGCT